TCACTCTTTCATCAATTCAAATATACTTTGAGACATGCTCTATTTAATAATGTACATCTTTGAATAATAGTCTTTCTCCCCTCGAATCTCAACCATTATAGGGGCTCGAAGTCTAAAAATTGGTGTGCACATACTCCATCAGGAATGTTGGGCAGTGGCATTACCCGCACTCCAATTACTTGAATGGAAACAGAGTTATGATGGACGCTATCTATTTTTTGCTCTGAGCTTCATAACTTAAAAAGGCTGTCCTGTTTCTAATTAAATACATAATTAATTCTGAATATTTTTACATGAAACTAAACCCCAGTCTATGATCTTTCTTCACCGAAAAGATAAGTTCATTTGCCCGGATATTGGGATTTCCAGGTCCTGGACACTAGCACGATGACCATGAGTGTGTCATTTCTCTCTAGTACAACATTCGACTCTGAAGCCTGCAGGCAAAAATGTCAAGCTATGGAAAAAGTTTCTCTGAAAGTTTCAGATCAATTCATTGGATTATCATTGAGTTATGGGTCTTCAAAAGACAATCGATGTATTTTTCCACACCGACGGTTACAATAAATGACCATGCTTCTTGAATGGATCGGCATAGTTCCTCGAAATTTGTATGACAGATAACTAGAAGTGAGAGCTACATAACAAACCTCGAAATCGGGCGAATTTTTTATGACCCGAACATTGCTTAGGCCTGCCCGGTCCGGCTCGAGCCCAAAAAATATTTCGTTTACAAAGATTTTTTTTCTCAATGGAGAGCTAGTGCATATTTTTTGTCTTTTAGAAAAAAGTAATGACCGGAACGGGGGTAACGCGGAAACTTTTCCCCTATCTTCCCTCAGGAATGAGTCAAATCTCAAAAAACCTATGTCAAAAAAGGATAAAATCGTCGGGCCGAGTGGTTTGTTTCGAGGCCTGCTATATAATGATGGGTCTACCTATCCACAACGTCCTTCCCTTTCCAGATTTATGAAACTCAAAGCAAAAATAGATACTGTCCATCACAACTCTGTTTCCATTCAAGTAATTGGAGTGCAGGTAATACCGTTGCCCCACATTCTTGATGGAGTATGTACATACAAATTTTCAGACCTCTAGTCCTTATAATGGTTGAGATCCGAGGAAGAGGAATGATTGTTGCCCAGGAATGTAAAAAGTTTTGTTACGAGCTTTAAGTAGAGTGGAATAATCAATGTTGAAACATTGGCATCGATGAGAAAATCCATTTTTTGACCAAATTAAATCACTTCTTAAGCACACTCAGTAGATATTCTAAATCTGTATATCGTCTAGTACTGATCATTGAAGAAATCTTTTATTTAGAATATTTGATTTATGAGGAAAACAAATAACAGATTTTTCTAAACTAATTTTCGGAATGGCTAAGCGCAATAAAATGCACGTGCGCTAATTCAAATTCGCTCAAACGGCGCCAGGATGTTCTATTCCCAAACTTCTATTTTTTTCACACTTCAAAGCATTTCTATTAAAATTCAATGATATATTTGGAATCATCGGATGAAAACTACATCAGACAATCTATAACACAAGACATTTTCTAATCAAAAAATTTTCTCGAAAAAAATATAGGGAAGGATCTTCTCAGGTAGTTTTTCGCTAAAAAACTCTTGATTTTCTTAAAAGTGATATATAGTCACTTCTAAGTAAAAGAAAGTCATTTCTGAGAACGAAAGTTACCATGCCAAAAAAAATGCACACTGTGCAATAGTATCTAACCCAATACAAATTCCAGGACAAAGAATACGATCAGTCATGAGTATTCCTCACAAAAAGACATATGTGTTTGATTCAATTGATGATTTTTATTATCAATATCTTTGAGTCTATGCACCGGACTGAATCGATTTTACTTCGGCCTATGGGAAGTTTTATTCAGCACAACGAATCAATGTCCATGGACCCATTTACAATCGCCCGAGATAAAAAAAAATAAAACTCATCTGAGGTTTTTCAAAACTTGTAAAATATTTTTTTCAAAAAAAAAAAATAAACCATTTTTTTTCTAAAGCACTTACACACGCTGAACCAATTCTTCATCCTCAATCTGATACAACAGTACAAACAGTGACATCTTTAAATCAAGTCTCATCTCAACAACAGTCATTTACCGTTTCATCTACAACTCGAAGTACAAACAAAGAAGATAATCATCATATATTGTCAGTAAATGATCGTCCACCATCATTTTCTAATATAACAAATTCTCAACATTCTATCTGTTGTGCTGAATGTCCATCACAATCAACAAATATTCTAAATTCAACATCAAACACAACATTATCTCATTTACATTTTCAAAATCGAATAGATGTTGATTGTGAAACTGAATCTAATCATGATACAGCATTAACATTATCATGTGCTGGTGGTCATGAAGAACTTGTTACATTACTTTTACAACGTGGTGCAAATATTGAACATCGTGATAAGAAAGGTTTTACACCTTTGATACTTGCTGGTATTGTTTTTCTTTGTCTTTTTTTTTCTTTATTTTCATCATAATACATATTCTTTTTTTTGTGTGTGTTTCTTAGCTACTGCTGGTCATGCTAATATTGTAGCACGATTACTTGAAAATGGTGCCAATATTGAAGCGCAATCAGAAAGAACAAAAGATACTGCATTATCATTAGCATGTAGTGGTGGACGACAAGAAGTTGTTGAAGTTTTATTGAAGAAAGGAGCTAATCGTGAACATAGAAATGTTTCAGATTATACTGGTATAATATCGATTGACATATAACTAGCGATTGAAAAGTTTTTAGACAAGATGTTTGTCTATTTTTGATTTGCTAAAAAAGTATTCTGAACGAGTTAAAAACTATAGGCTGTGACTAGGATTTGCATACGAACTTAGCAATATTATGTCGATTGAAAAATTATTTTTAATAATATACCAATGACTAGGTTTTTGTTTATCCTGTAATTTCCTTTTTGAACATCCTAAAAATTTTTGGAATCAATCATTTTGTAGAGTTAACATTTCTCTAGAAAATAAGCTTTAACATTTACCGAAGTATTTTTTCAAGAACTCATTTCAACGTAAAATGCTTGCCGATTTTTCAAAAATGTGTATGTAGGATAAACGAAAATTGAAGTATCTTATCGGAAGACAAAAACAGTATATTTTATAGGATAACTTCTGATCTACAAATACAGATCGAATTGTTATAATGAAGATGTAGAAATTTTCTGTCCAAAGTAATTTTTCAGTCTCGAAGTCCATATTCAAAAAGAGTATAAACTCAAAGTTTTTGACTTCTTCGGAAATACGTCAAAAGTGAACAAACATCTTGTCTAAGAACTTTCCGATCATGCATTAGAATACCTATTGATTTTATTTTGTTTAGCTTTGAGTCTTGCTGCTTCGGGTGGATATGTGAATATAATAAGATTATTATTAAATTATGGTGCAGAGATTAATTCAAGGTGAGTTTATTTATTTATTATTATTCTTTTATTTTTACTTCTCTTTTATATAGAACTGGTAGTAAATTAGGAATAACTGTAAGTATTGATTGAAAAATATTATAAAGATAAAATGAAAAGAAATATCTTTTATTTTTAGCCATTAATGCTTGCTTCAATGAATGGACATGTAGCTGCTGTTAAACTTCTATTAGATATGGGCTCTGATATAAATGCTCAGATTGAAACAAATCGCAATACAGCATTAACATTAGCTTGTTTTCAAGGACGAGCTGAAGTTGTTTCATTATTAGTTGATCGAAAAGCAAATATTGAACATCGAGCAAAAACAGGTTTAACACCTCTTATGGAATCTGGTAAAAAAGAAATGAGATTTTTTAATATGAAAAAAAAACAATAATTTTGTGATTATTCGTTTTTATAGCATCGGGTGGTTATGTTGATGTTGGTCGAGTTCTATTAGAACGAGGCGCTGATGTTAATGCACCACCAGTACCAACATCAAAAGATACTGGTATGTAACCAGATATTAAAAGAAATAAACTATATATCCCTATGGTATGTTAGATGTACTTAGATAAATGACCACATTTAAGATATGTGAGCAGCTTCTTATACTGGATAGTCTATAGTCGATCTATGTAAATTTTGCTAGGAATGAGCATTTCCTTATGAGTACTGATGTCTAGTTTCATAAGCAATGACAACCTATGGAATGTGAACACCCTATGGTCTATCATTCATGTGTGGAACGAGAAAAAAATGATGGTACGCGTATTGCGTTACGATAAATAGTCGTGCGATACATAGATATTTAAAATTAAAAAAAAACTAATTCATCTTTGTGTAATAACTATCAATGCGTATTGATTTTATCGCTGATTAAAAAAAAAGTTGAAGTAATAAAATGTTGGAAAGATTACAATTGCAAACTTGTCAATAATAAGCACCTTTTATCGGTCTTGATGGTACCCATATCAGAGAGATTTTATTATAATTATTGTTTTTTGAGTTGAATTGAAATTCATTAGACTTCTGTTTTGGTTTTTCTTGAGTATAAAACAAACGAGATTGAGACATCATTAATCAAATTCATCTTGATTTCTCTAATATTGTATGAGAATAATTTAGTTCCTAATTTCATAAGCAGGAAAATCGTAGAATAGAACAAAAAGATATTCCTAGTAAATGCACTGGCTTTAAAAGAACTCGAAAGAGTACCCTGCTATCAGTGTGTATCGGAGACTTTTTTATCACTTGACCCCAGAATGCTATAGGAACTGTATAAATACCCATTTGTTGAGAGAATTCTCACGAGGAAAGTCTCCCAACTGATTACTCGCTTTTAAGTTAGAACTATATAATTTATTGTGAAAGCTTCAGATATTTTCGTTTCTCCAATCCTAAGATGTAACTATACTTTTACATCGCTCATACTCACTCACAGATTCGATGTTCTTATTTCAGGATAAGAATAATTCAGATAATCTGATACTCTCACAATAAACTATTTTCATTAAGTTAATTTTAAAAAGAATTTCAAATCTATTGATTTTCTAATATAAATTTATGTTATATTTAGCTCTAACAATTGCTGCTGATAAAGGTCATCATAAATTTGTTGAATTACTTCTTCTTTATGGTGCCACAATTGATGTTCGAAATAAAAAAGGTGCGACACCATTATGGCTTGCTTGTAATAATGGTCATTTAGAAGTTGTTCAATTACTTGTAACACGTTTTGCTAATCCAGATTCAAGTGATTCACGAAAAGTTTCTTGTCTTATGGCTGCTTTTCGTAAAGGACATTGTAAAGTAGTTAAATATTTAGTTCGTCAAGTTCGACAATTTCCATCAGATGCTGATTGTCGTCGTTTAATAAGTACAATAACTGATAAAGTAAAACAAAAAAAAAA